ATAGCAGGTTTCGTGTTTTGTCGACTTGGACAATCGAAAAACACTATCAAATCTTAAACAAGAAAACATCGCAACACTACACGACTTCGATGACATCAAAAGTGACTTGGCTATTAAAATTGAAAGGTGTCGAAATTATATGACAGAGGAAATTAAGACAAATATCCTGCCTCAAAAACAAGAGAAAAGTGATTATGATGACATGGAAAAAGAAGAAAAGTTGGACAAAAGTGTGCTTATCGATTTTACAGATTTGAATGATTTAAGTGATTTGGATGATCTAAATAATTCCACAAAAAGTGAAAAAATTGAAAAAGAGGAAAGTGAAATGAGTGAATCACAAAGCGAAAGTGAAACCGACAAAGTCAAACAATTACAGAATGAGGAAAATACAAAACGGGGATTTATAAATAGTAAAGATGGCCTATCAACCCCTTTGCAACAAAACAACATTATAAATGTGAAGAAAGAACGTGAAAAATTTGAAAAAGAAAAACAAGACTTTTTATTCGAAGAAGAGGAACTTGAAAATGTATTTGAAAACGATAATAAATCTAATAATACTGAAGAAGACTTTTGTGAATTGAATTTGAATGTAATAGAAGACATAAATAACAACGAAAACGAAACTGAATGTATTATGGATCAACCCATGGAGTTTGAAAAAGTCGATTTGTTACTTAACAACACCACTAATGATGATAATATTAACATCCAAAATAAAAGTGAAAGTGTTGATTTTAATATGGAGTTGGTGGAATCAGTGATTAACAAAACTATAACTCCACAAAAAGAAATTAGTTCTATTGAAATCGATTCAACAAAAAACAAACAAAGTCAAATGGAAATAAAGGAAAAAACAAATATAATAAAAGAAATAAAAGATGTACCACTGCAGATTTTTAATCCATTTCCAACACAAGAAGAACTATTAAAAACGCGTTCTCAATCAATACCAAATGCAAATGTGTTAACTGATATTACTGCTTTAAAAAGTAAAGAGATGATTACATCCAAAAAGAAAAAAGAAAGTGAGACTTCCCAAAAACTAAAACCATCTCAAAACGTTTCTATGTCTTCAACTCAAAGAAATTCAATACAAAATGTCAAAAAAGTGGCAAAAAAAGTGTTAACCCCCAAATTGACGACATCTAAAGTTCATAACACTCACCCAACGGTTTCTTTCAATTATAATAATCATCACTCATATTTAAAAGATTCGGAAAAACACAAAGAGATTAATAAGAAACCAATAACACCCGAACTGTATTCCCCACAACATTTTCAAACTCTTCAAAACACTAATATTGTTATACCTCAAACTTTATTCAAACCAATTGACCAACCCCAATATGGAATATATCAAACAAATGTTTTCTCGCAACAAGTATACTTCCCACTTCCTCAACAACCCCCTGAACCCGTTTTAATACCACATAACTACCAGACGTTGTTTGACAATGCGACGCTCCCACAACAGAACACAACTAACGTCCACCCCAACTACTTTCAGAGACATTATAATGAGTGTATACAACCTCAAATGACTCAGTGTGTGAATGGTATGAATGATTTTAATAATTTCAATAATTATAATAATTATACTAATTCAACCATTCAATGCGGTCAAAGCAATTTAACACCGATCACAACAAGTGATTACAACGTCCAAGGAGTAAAACAGTTGGGAGGAAATGGAACGTTAAATCAACAAAGTACTTTATTAAGTAATCCTCCTCTTTATTTAAATGGAAATATCAACACAACAATCCCTCGATTTCATACACATTTCCCATACGTTAATTCACTTGGAAAAACTGAATGTCCTATTTTAAACACTCCAAGTAACTCATCGGGCGTGGAACAGCAGCAAATCACTTTAAACGAAAGTCCAAAATCGTGTGCGCGACACAACGAGTTTCGTCAAACAGTGGGAATGGCGACAAATTCATTAAATGTGAATTCGCCTCAAATAAAACAATTTCGAACTCCTCAAATTGTTATTCAAAATGTTATTAAAAAAGAAACTCAAAATGGGACTCAGACATTGACTTCTGTGACAGCAAAGTCTTCAACCAAATTCAGAAGTGTTGAATCAAACACTTCTGAATTGACAAATATGAAAGTGATGAATTTGTTGAAAATGTCTTCTATTACAGAATCGTATCTCTTTGGGTGCACGGACTTAACGAGTGTATGTATTCCACTGAACATCACTGAAATGCGAAGTTGGTGTTTTGCGTGTTGCGGATCTCTTAAAAGGGTTGTTATAATGGCACAACTGTCTTCCCTTCCTCCAAAAGCTTTCTTTCAATGCTCAGACCTGTCTGCAATTAACATCCCAAATACAGTCACTGCAATCGGAAATTATTGTTTTTCAAAATGTCATTCGATACGACAGATGACACTCCCATACAACATCAAAGTCATTGGAGGAAGTTGTTTTATGGACTGCAGTCAATTGACTTCAATGAGTATTCCGTCCACTGTCTCTTCACTGAACAGTTCAACGTTCGAGGGGTGCGAACAACTCCAGAAAATCGAGTTAAGTGAGAACGTCAAGGAAGTTGGCAATGAGTGCTTTAAAGACTGTAAAAGTCTGAAAGAAGTTGATCTGAGCAATGTCACAACTCTAACAAAAAAGTGCTTTGAAAATTGTTATTCGCTTGAGACGGCGAATGTCGGGAGATGCGAGCGTTTCGAAGAAAATGCATTCAGAAATTGCGTTGTATTGAAATTGAGTATCAACGAAATGAACGTCAAAGTTGCCAGAAATTGCTTTGAAAATTGTCCCAACGTGGAGTTTGTGAATATCGAGGAATATAACGATTTTAATGTCGAAGTACTCTGAGTTATATTATTTAATGTATTATTTCAAAGAGTTAGTTGGTTTCTAAAGTCCATTTTTTAATATCGGGATTTTACTATAATTTATAATATTATTATTATAAATTATAATAAAAACAAAGTTATTTTACAATTGGAAAAATGAACTTTTTTATAGGAATGTGATTAATTGGTTGTAAATGATCAATCCCTTGTCGATTTTGGTAGAAGTTCCAGAACAAAAACAAGTCATTTTTAACTTTTTACAATCTTTTCCTTGTGTATAAAGAAAAAGGATAACCCTATAATGCACTTTTGGGAATAAGAAAAATTTGTAAGTTTTTGATTTATATTTTTAGATATTCTATTTTAATCGAATTATTTTTAGTTTTTTTTATAAATTAAAATAAAAAACAACAAAAGTTAAATTTATATTCATTTAAAATACAAGATCCATCATTATGTTCGATGAGTTGATTAAATTTGCATATTCTCCAATTTATCTATTCTGTCTTCTCTGTCTTCTCTGTCTTCTCTGTCTTCTCTGTCTTCTCTGTCTTCTCTGTCTTCTCTGTCTTCTCTGTCTTCTCTGTCTTCTCTGTCTTCTCTGTCTTCTCTGTCTTCTCTGTCTTCTCTGTCTTCTCTGTCTTCTCTGTCTTCTCTGTCTTCTCTGTCTTCTCTGTCTTCTCTGTCTTCTCTGTCTTCTCTGTCTTCTCTGTCTTCTCTGTCTTCTCTGTCTTCTCTGTCTTCTCTGTCTTCTCTGTCTTCTCTGTCTTCTCTGTCTTCTCTGTCTTCTCTGTCTTCTCTGTCTTCTCTGTCTTCTCTGTCTTCTCTGTCTTCTCTGTCTTCTCTGTCTTCTCTGTCTTCTCTGTCTTCTCTGTCTTCTCTGTCTTCTCTGTCTTCTCTGTCTTCTCTGTCTTCTCTGTCTTCTCTGTCTTCTCTGTCTTCTCTGTCTTCTCTGTCTTCTCTGTCTTCTCTGTCTTCTCTGTCTTCTCTGTCTTCTCTGTCTTCTCTGTCTTCTCTGTCTTCTCTGTCTTCTCTGTCTTCTCTGTCTTCTCTGTCTTCTCTGTCTTCTCTGTCTTCTCTGTCTTCTCTGTCTTCTCTGTCTTCTCTGTCTTCTCCATCATTATCAGTCTTTATAATTTATTGTTTTTACAAGTTTTTGAAACTTTTCAATAATATCAATAGTTTTATTTTTAAACATTAATAATAAATATTAAAATAAATTCTTATTTTGATTGTTTATTTAGTCAAATATCATATTTTTTACATTTTACTTACATTAAGGATTTTTTAATTATTGTATATATCTAAAAATAAAAATGTTTTTGTAATTTTTATTATTTGTTATTATAATTTAATTAATATAAACTATTTGATATAAAAATAGCCGATATTTGAAAACAAATGAGTTTTTAATGAAAGAGTAATTATTGATTTATTATTTAGAGTGATTAATAAATAATAGTATTTAAATGGTTTTTAATTCATATTTTAAATTTGGTATGGTATGCTAAAAATAAATTGATGATTTAACTTTGTTGTAATATTGAAAACAATTTATAGAAAAAAATTAAATAAAAATTTATTAATATAATAAATGTAACTATTAATTTACTAAATTTAAGTGAAAAAATAAAATCACAAAAAATAAATAGACTTATTATATAGATAAATATTTATTCATTATTTCATACAAAACTTAATAATTCAAAACATGAAATATCTCAAACAAATTAGCAACAACAACCAAAAAACGAAAAAAATAAAACCCATAACATCACTCTCGCACATTTTATTATCATATTTTCAATTTTTTAATAATATAAATTATATAAAAGAATAATAACCAACAAACAACACCAAAAATCACTTATTTTTTACGCAATTTTTATAATGTTTTAGATACTCAGGAAACAATTTCAATCTTTCACACGAAAAAGAGTGGTTGCAGGGAATGGAAGGAATGTTATCAATTATTTTTTGTCAATAAGACAACGGTTTTAAATTGACTATATAACATTATATATATAAATGATTTTTTTATTTTTTATTTTTATTAATTGTTTTTTATTTATTTCACAAACTAAAAATTATAAACAAATATCAATTAAATAATCTATGATTTTATTGTGTTAATAATATAAAATAATGTCATGAGCAGAATTTTTATTTGTGTTGGCGGTTAAAATAAGGTCGGTGTTAATTTAATAGTAAATTTATCAAAAGTGTTTAGAATTAATCATGGTCTATAATTTTTTGAATTTTTGCACCAAAATGTTTTTAGGCAAATTTCTATTAAACTCCCCTCATTGTGCCTCCTAATTATAGGTTAATAGTAAAAAATGGTTTCAATTTTATAAAATAATAGTTTGATTATTTATTACACACATAGTATAACAAATTATAAATCTTTATTATATATATTTTATAAATAATTAAAAATTTAACTATAATTTATAGAACATTAATTGAAATTTGTATTAAAATTGTTAATTATATAAATTATATATAATAGTACAATTATTGTTATTATTTTTATAACAATTTTATAACATTTTAAAATCATTTTATTATGATAAACAAATCATTTAAAATATTATTAATAACTATCAACAAATTGTAAAATATATATATTTGTTTATAATAAAAAATATTTTGTCATTTATTTTTAGTTATTTGATTATTATTCATTATCTTATTATTTTTTTGTATTTTTATACTATCATTGTAACTAATTATTATTATTTATTAAACTAATTTATTATTTAAACTAGAACATTGTATTACAATTTGATGATTATTATATTAAAGAATGTCAAACTATATACACCAATGAAAAACTTATACAAACAAAACGCACCTTAAGAACAAATAAATTACTTGCTTATAATTTTTAAAAAGCCTTTGAATTACAGTCTTGTTTTAAACACAAATTATGGATTTTTTTACAGATTGTTTTAAATTATATAAAAAATAACAAGAAATTGTTGAATAAAAACATAATCTACACCTAATATTCAATTAAATAACAAAGTATACATTGTTGTTATCCATACAATAAAACAGACGCTCATATGGCATCTTCGGTAACATATTTTGAGAGCGCATAACTTTGAGTTTTGAAGAAAAACTTTCAACACTCACCGATGTTGAAAAGATGCAGACCAAACAGTGAACAACACTCTGAAGATTTACAAGGTTAAGTTCTTCAAGTGTGTCAAACAGTTCAAGCAAAGAAATCCTCCTACAACGTTTTGTTTCTATTACCAACTTTTCTTGATATTCGTTTTCAGATTTCTTAATGTTCAATTTAAGTTTATTAATTTCTTCATAATTCATTAAACACATTGCATCGCTAAGTTTAGACAACTCTTCATCAAAAACGTCTCCAAACTGGTGTTTCTTAGAAAAATAATTTGGCTGGATTCCATTTACAATATAGTCTGGGAAATAAAACAGTTCAATAAGTTCGGAGTAGAACATAAAATTTGGATTGTCTTCATAAATCACTTGATCGACAATTCCCGTTTTCCAATTTACAAGTAAATCGTTAATTGTGTTCATGTTTACGGATTGTGAAATTTGGTGAAATCTAAGTTGTAATTGGCATTTTAAACGATACAATACCCTCAACATGAACTCGTCGTTTCTTTCAATAATTCCTTTGATGTTTTTGAAGTGCTTTAAATTACATGTTTCGACTTCTGTGATTAGATTGTCTACATGAATTTGAAACATTTCCATTCTTTCTATATACTCAAACAGAAGACAGTTGTCTTCTTGAAGAGAAGCAACAATCTCGAAAAGGTGTGATAAAATTTCTCTACTTTTAAAAAACAGACTTTTTATACAAGGATGGTCCATTCTAAAATTCCTTTTTGTCTACTTTAATTCCGCTATAAATATTTCTTCTAAATTTGTTTCAGCTTCTTCTGCGTTATCACTTCCACTTGCGCCTTCAAATCTATCACTTGTTTTTCTCGTGTTCTTTGTTGCTTTTTTCATACCAAAACCAACACAATTATTATGTATGACAATTCTTTTATTTTCAAATTCTTCACACAATTCATCAAAAACTTGATTATTGATATATCACAGCAACATCTTCATAATTGTTACAAATGTCGTTCATGTTCTTACTAATCCAAAGCCATCTTGTATAAGAGTAAGTCGAACTTATCGTGTGTCACGCACCACAATTTTTTTGTACTCATTAAGGCGCGATTTTTTTACAAAACAATTGACAAAAGACTTTCATCATCATTATTTCCACCTCCTTTTCGAGTCCTTCTGCACACAGCGCAACACGATGTGTACTACACCAAAAGTGCTTTAGAGGACCATCTATTATTTCTCTGCCTGATGGTTCATTGCACTCAATTAGTCTATTCATCAATATTGGAACACTTCCCTTTGAACCCGCCCAAGACGCGATACCATCTGTTGTTATATTCACTACACGACAACACAGAACACCAAGTTTATTTAGTTTTTGTACTAACCACACAGCAAGAGCATCTGCTGTTGTTTCTCCTTTGTATTGACGAAGTAAAAGAGGTAATCCGATACTTTTCCTTCCACGAACTACTCGCATCATCACAAATTATTTCAATGTCATCTTTAGTAGTTGAGTCAACAGATATCGCAACACATTCATGTTCAAGCTTTTGAGCTTCTCTGTTTTTTCTTTCTTTTTCGTTTGCACCAATTATCTGATTTCCTGTTTTTTGACTTATAGCAAGTGTCTTCGCACGGTTCAATGAATTTCTACTGAGCCCAGCAAAACTTATTTCAATGCAAAGTTTAATGGCTTTTTTATCTGATGCGCTCATTGCCACTCTGTTTGTAATTTCATTAATGATGTAATCGACCATTTTTCTTTGTTTAACAACTAGTAATCCCAATTCTCTTTTGTTCAAGCTTTTAAACTCTCCAGAAAACATAGAATCAAATGCTACTATATAATGATTGAGAGAAAACTGTCTTTTCTTTTTATTGTTTTCTATATAAGAAAAGCGTCTAATAGTCTCGGAAAGTTCATCAATGTCCACTTCTTTCATTCCAATTGTTTTGAATATTTTAAACGTGTGATTTTCGAACTCAATAAATTCATTTTTTATTTCTTCGACCTTTTCTTTTTGAACTCTATTAAACAAATTTTCTTCTTCGTTATAATTGAACAACTCCTCTTCAGATGTAACCATTTCAACATTTTGTTGTCTGTTTTTTTCAAGTTTTTCCTCGTCGTGATTCAAATCAAAAAATAAATTTGCGTCAAACTCAGTTTCTTCACCTTTTTCGTCATCTTCAATTTTTCTAAAATCGTTATAATTATTATCCATGTTGTTATCATTATTCAGAGTTTCAATTGAATAAAACTCTAACGAGTTTACACTTTCGGAAACAATTTTCATTTTTCTTAATCGAGTCTGTGATAATTTAAGTCGTAAATAAACGAAAAATTGTTCGGTAATTTCCGCTTTACAGTATACCTTAGTTGTGTTGAACTTTGATTGAATTATTGCCATTGATGAATCATTGTAAACATTTACAAAATGATTATATATCTCAATTTCTTCATGAGTTAATATAAAGTTGTTTTTGTGAGCATCACTTTTGTTTTGAGTGTGTTTATTTTTGCTTGTTAAAAAACACCATGAGAAAGACAAAAGAAAAAGGATACTGTTCTGTATTTAAGAGAAATATAATCATAAGAAAGTGTTAAAACATCGTTCACATATTTTAGATCAGTGTCATTTAAAACGTAATCACTCATTTAATATTCAGTTTTTTTATAAATTTTTAATCATTTAATTTTTGTTTATTAATATAATTTGTTTTGTATTTAATTAACAACTATGATGAATAATATCATATCTATTTCATTTATTGTTATAATATATAGTAAATCAAGTTGTTGTAACTTGATTAAATAATTAATAAAATATAAAATGATGTTTTATTACGTTAATTAAAACATATGTTATTTTAATTTTAAAAACACATTTATTAAATATTTAAATAACAAAAACGTTAACTAAAAAAGTGTTAATTTTAGGGCTGAACTGTCAATTATTTTTATATGTTAATTGTTGTAAAAAACTCTTCTTATTTTAAATTGGGCTTCTAGAACCACAATTCAATATTACCCAATATCCCGTTTATTTGCATCTTTTCAAAATTAGCTTAACCATAAACGATTTTTTTGCCACAAAAAACTGCCTTTTTGATCCTTTTTTCATTTTGAGCAAAAAATTCTAGGCCATGGAATTGGTGATTAAAAAACAAATAATGTGAGGAATTGTGATTGTTCTTTTTGTTTTTTGTCTTAAAACGCATTTAAAACAAAAAAATGAACATAAAAAATAAAAATTCCACAATTAACATTGGGTGGTTATTTATTAATATTTATAATTAATATACCATTAAACATTATTATTAATTTTAATTGTTTAATTTTGAAATATTCTAATAATTAAACATATTCATTTTATTTATACATATTAATGTATAACTTTTAATTAATTATTTATTAGACAATTTGCATAACATATAATTTATACTTATTTAAAGAGTTAAAAAGATCTATATTAATAAATTAAATATCTATTATTTTTGCGACAATTTTTAATTTTTATATAACAACAAACAATTTTAAATTGTTTGTTGTTATATAAAAATTTTGGGTTTTTAAATGAATAAAGTCGGGAATATCAATAATAATAAGCAATTGTCTAAACTCCCAAAAAATTAACAATTTAACACAGTAAAAAAACACAATCTTTGTTTAAATATTATCAAGTCATTAAAGTTTTTGTTTAAACAATAGTATCTACATTTTATAGACAAGTTTTTTTATTCAGATAGTAATACGTCTTAACAAAGAGTTTACCAGAAAAAGTTTATCATTTAGATGTTTAACAATTTAAAATCTTCGAATTTTGGAATTTTTTTTTCGTTTTTTAATCTTTCTTTCTTCATTTCGAAATTTTGGCTTAATATGTGACTTGTCATTTTTTGTTTCGGCAATTTTGAGAATATAATTACATTTTTTATATTTTATTATAAAATATAACTATTTGATTTTTTAAAACAAAAAAATTAATTTAAATATTTTTTACTCGAAACCTACATTGACCACCACCACCTCTTAAAATAGATTTATTTTTTCTATTTCGAATTATATTCAAATTAAAATTATAGTAAATGGGAAACTGGGATAATATTAGGTCTGGTTCCCGAATTCAAGAAATGCCGAAAATTCACCTCAAGTCAGTGGAAACCGAGTGAGACGGAGCATTGAAAAGAAGGCTCACAAGGCCGCACTCAAACAGTCTGTTTGTGCACCGTTTCACCCACTTTCCAAGTCCTCCCTTGGCGCGGATCCCCCCTGACCCCCCGCAAGCGGGGGGGACCACATCCGCGTCCACACAGTACGGACAAGGAAAGTGGGTGACATGGTGACGCACAAACAGTGGCCGAAAATGGACTCCCTTCAAAAAACACTCGCGGCAAATATTTTTTTGGTAAAGGTGGTGGTGGTGGTCAATGTAGGTCCCTTTTTACTCACAAAATTGATTTTGATTTATTTTTTTGTCTAAAAACTTAATAAAATGTCGAAATTTCTTCAATTTTGGGATTTTATACTTATAAAATAACGAATAAATGTTTAATATGTACGAATCAAATACAATCAAAAACAAGTTGATGACATATATAACAAACATGTGTTAACATTTAATCAAGTAAAATGGGTGTAAAATTTATATGTTGTTTTTAATTTGTTTGTATTTATAAACATTATAATTTGTTTTGTTGTTAATGATATTATCAAATTTAAATTGGTTTTTGTTTTTTTATTTAAAAAATGATATTTATTTCAATATGTAGTTTTTGAATGAATATGTTTTCAACTTACATAAAATATTAAATCTAAAAGGATATTGTAATTATTATTAAAACCAAAATAATTAATAAATAACCAATAACATAAATTGAGTTTAGACCATTTGATCAATCATTTCGAAACATCTCAAAGTGATAAATACAGTTATTTGGTAATTAGTATAAACATTACAACAAGAAAATCATTCTAACAAACTGTGTTATTGGATTATTTTTAAATTTTTTTTTGGTTTTGGGCATTTGTACTTTTCAACAATTTTAATACACTCCTTTATAAAGTAAAATGACTTCCACTCAGCCAAAGCCATTTTATTTGAGCAACATTTACTCGATGACAGAACTTCAATTCGACTTTTGAGTCTGTAAATCATGTTGTACTTTTGTTTATGTTTTATCTCATTGTTACCAATTTCATCAGTCAAAATCAAGATATTGGTTGTCAAATAACTTATTTGTATTTATAACTTTGTAAAATAAAAAATGTACACCCAACCATTGTTTGTAACAGCAGCTTTGTTTTTATATTGTTACACACAATGTATTTGTTGTGTGTTAATCTTATGTTTCACGTTTGTACACACTCCATACTGTTATTTAGGGATTTATTTTTCCGTTTTTTGTTTTAATAAAAAAACAAAATGTCCATATAAAGTCATTTTTAAAACCGTGCAACTTTGACATGTCAGTGCAACTTTGTTTATAATATAATTATAGTAAAAAAAATATACGTTTTTTAGAAACAAAACAAGAAAACACAACCAAATTTTTTTAAAACTATTACTATAATTAATATACTATAACTAAATTAAAACCAAAGTTGCACAATTTTTCTCAATTAGTTTCTTTTGGGTCGCACTATTAAACAGTCTAGTTATCGATATTTTGCAGCGAAAAAGTCTTTGAATCACACGAATTGGCTTGTCTCATTATTTTTTGTTTCATACACGAGATGTTTAACATTTGCGCCATCCACAATCAATATACAACGCTGTTTTATTCGTTTTGTATGACAATTGGAATTCTAAATTTTAAATGATTTTTAATTAAACAAGCAGTTGAACTTATCATTTAAATATCGAGTTATATTTTATGTTGATTTATAACCTAATTCTACTTTTTGTTATTGTTATTGTTATTGTTGAAAAATAGAGTTTTCCCTTTGTTGTGAGTAAAAAACAAAGAAAAAATAAAGTTGCACACTTATTCGGAATGACTTTACATCATATTTTTACAAATATAAAAATAAAACAACGAGTGATAACAACCACGATCAGGCGTTTACCATTATTTTATAACAAAATGCCGAATAACAAAATTGTTTTCAAGTAAATTATTTTTTTTCCCGTTATTTTACTATTTTTTAATTCAATTTTTTCTTATTTAAACTTGAAAACACAAAGCTAACTGGTAAAAAAGTTATTCACTGATTTTTTTAGCGTGGAAAACTCTTATTTCAGGCCAATATAATATCATTTTTGAAAGAAAACCATGCCAAAATTTCTCTGAATTATACTTTTTAAGATTTTTCAGGTTAAAACAGGTCCTTATAAGACAAAAACCAAAGGAGCGCCCAGTTTCGTTACTTCCATATTTCAATAACAAGGAACTATCGAAACTTCTAAAAACTAAAATCAAATAGAAAAACACGAAAATAAACTGCGGTTGATGATTAAAATAGCTTTTTACACTTGCAAATGTGATAACCGATTAGTACGTATTTCCAATTTTTACCAATAATTTAAAAAACAAACAAAAAACACACAAAAAACAAACACGATACCATGAAACATAAATCGCCTCTGATGCAATATCAACAAACAGTCAATCAAATATTGAATTAATTGCCGACTTAAACAATTACTAAAAAAACAATAAGAAAATAAAGAACAAATAGGGAAATTGATGTAAAATGAAATTTGAAAACAAATTAAGAACTAAACTTAGACAATCATTACCATACAATTCTCTTCATTCCAGAACAATTTCTCAAATGAAGTTGATAGGTCCTGTGTCTCTTTCTCTGTAATTCGGCTCTTTTAGTATCTTTGTAATACTTCTCTTCCATAGCAGCCGCCAACAATTTATGGTGGCCTTGAATTTATGTGAATCCATTGTACTACAGTGGGACACTTGATAAAGTCCATGCGCCGCTCCTTAAATTGAATAGTCTTGCTTTATAATATTCTTCCAATCTCGATACAACAAGAAATTATCCAAATTCCTAATTCGTTGTTTGACTGTTTCGTCTTTAATTAATTCAGTTGTTTGTGACATTTGTGTGTTGTAGTAATACAAATACAAAGCAACATAACAGAATCATGTTGTTCAACAAACCCCACATATGTCCCATCTTACCAGCTGTATGTTGTTGCGAAGAATCCACTTTCTCGAAGCTCCGCTTTTGCAAGACATTTCAAGAACTTTTCTGTCACTACAAAACTCAGTTTTCGTATTCAAAATATCAATTTTATCGAGGTGAATTGTAATAATTTCAAATAATAGTTTTATA